GTAACTGATAGCTTAGCTCACTACACTGAACAAGTAGCTTGTTCAACACTGTCTACCCATCAGGAGTGACAAGCTATTAGGAGATCAGGCTGAAATACAACAAACGGCGGATATCTACTACTGTAGTTGTAACGATCTTGCATCTTTTCATGACATATATGCATAGCCTTTATTGTTAAGATTGTTTTATAAGTTTATGTCGAAGACAATTAATTTGAAAAAGTGTTTTTTTAAACTGCTTTTTAGTTTATTTTGTAATCATTTTATTTATTTGTGTTTTTTTACTTAATTTTTTTTTGTAATCATTTTATTTATTTGTGTTTTTTTACTTAATTTTTTTTTTACCTTAAATGCCAAAATATTGTCTGAGTAAATCATTTTAATTATTAAATTAGCTGTTATGAGCCAAGAGGGACTCAGTACTTGAGTACCAATTTTACAAAGTCCCACAGATCTGTAGACCTACTGATAAGGTCAACAGGTAGTTGGGTGAAGTTTTATATGCAACATTAATATTAATCGACTTGTTTTTCTTCTCTCACTTGCTAGCTTTTTTTTTGTTGCCAGAATCAGGTGTAGCTAAAATACACTTGGGGTGTAAAGTGTGGGCTCCCACTGAGAGCCCACAGCTACACAGAGGTCAGTAACGGGAAAGAATAATCTTTTATTTACACAAACCGCAGGGAGTTCAGCTACCTCACCAGACTGTGCTACAGTAGCTCCAGCTGGTTACAGGAAAGGACTGGTATTTTACTTTATGCAGGATCAGCTGTAGCGTGAAGCTGCAGCAGACTGTTAAAGACTTACAGAAGCCAAAAAAAAAACCTTTTTACACCATGTTTAACTTCAACAGATTGAGGAGGCAGCTAACTGAAAAAGAGCAACAAAAATAAAACACTCAGATCCTGCAGAGGGAATAATTGTGCATGATGTGATTATTATGTTCTTCAATAGACTCAAATTGAATGGAGAAAAAAAATTACATCAAACATATTGTTTACTTGGTGGTATGTATTTTTTCCCTAATAAATGGTCAGAATTAATTACCTTAGTCGTGCCATAATGGTTGCCAAGATGGGTGGCACAATTAAGAGTAAAATATGTTTTGGACTCAGTTCAATAAAGGGGTTATCATTCATTAATTTTAAATGAGCTGCTGCAGCTGGTTCTGAAGTGGATCTCAACCACTGCCCTGGTTTCGCCTCAACACACTCTATCCTAATTTAGAACTAAATCATTAAAGAGCTTCAATAAACATGTGCATTATTACACTAGGGGCAGAGCATTAGCAGTCTGCGAGTGGCAGGGTTACACCGGAGAGGCACTTTGTTTTCCACTGGGGCGATGAGTAAATGTACTTAAAGACTCGTGAGCGAGTTTGATCCCATCTGCTGAGGAGGTCCTACACGTTGCTGGGTTTAAACTTATGAATAAATAATACAGAAAACAAGTTTTATGTGAGAATGAGAATTTTATATTATTCACAAAACTTTAAAAGGAATATTTGTCCCCCAACAGATTCATAATGTTTTCCCACATAACAAACAGATGGACTTAATTGAAAAAGTAGATAGATTTAGACAGATTTATTTTGTCATTTTGTATACACAAGTGAAACAAAAATGACATCAAATTGGCACTTACTTCTTTCATGTTGTTCCATTAATGATGGGACATGATGGCTTATTAAATAAAATGAAAATAAGATGATGATCGGGCTGAGACTATTTATAATAACCATAAATAAACATCAAGTAGTCAAATATGAACTGCCAGTAGTGGAGCTTTATGCTGATTTCTGTTGTTAACTTTGGTAAATCTTAAACTCTGAATAGCTGGTTAAGCAAAGAAAGTTGGTATTTGGGGTTTAGACTGAACATTAATTGAGATTTATGAAGTAATCATTTAATTTGTGAAAACACAAAAATATATTTGGACCAATTAGAAATGTGCACCATTTCTAATATATATAGATCAGTGAAACTTGGAATGTTTACTTATTTTCATTTTATTTAATAAGCCAACAGAAAACACTGGAAAAAAACAG